CAGCTAATTTTTTGTATTTTTAGTAGAGACGGGGTTTCACCATGTTGACCAGGATGGTCTCGATCTCTTGACCTCGTGATCCACCCGCCTCGGCCTCCCAAAGTGCTGGGATTACAGGCGTGAGCCACCGCTCCCGGTCCCCTGTCACCTTTTCACCGCCCCCCACCCCAGCCTCAAATCCCCAATACAACCCCAATCCGCAAATCTGCTTTCTAGCCCAGAATCCGCGATCCAGCCGGGTCCACCACAGCCTTCAGCAGCGAGCTGGCAGACCTCTCAGACCTAGCGAGCCCGGCGAAGCCGTTAGGCGCGCGCCTGCCCCGCGGTGGGCCCCCGGCCCTGAAGTCACTCCCATGCCCGCGCAGGAAGGTTGGGCCGCAGCTCTGGGCAGGCGCCCCTGGGCTCCGGGTTCTCCTGGGCTCGCCGGGCAGCCCCAGGACCATGCCGGATGCGCAGTTTGCAAGTGCAGCTCTGGCACCAGCGCGGGATGTCGGAGCTTCCCTGGGATGGCATCAGGGTCGCGCAGTGCACAGCTCATCTGGCCTGAGGGTGCGCTCCTCTTGGAAACCTCTCTGGATCCTGGACCCCTGCGCTGGGGACTCTGCATCCACACCGACGAGATGCAGTGGCTGCTTGAGGGCGACTGTCTGACTTTGTCGCCTGGGCGACCGGCCCCAGGATCCCTGCTGCTGGGGGCGCGGGCCTGGTCTGGGGCGTCCAGCCACTTGCTGCCCGTGCCACGCCTACGCTGCAGAGGCGGTTCGGGCGCCGGCGCGGGCTGGCGGACCTGGCACCTGATGTCCTCAGGGTCAAGTGCATTACCCGCCACCTGAGGGGTCTGCTCTGCCTTGGCCTCCTCCAAGAGCTTAGGGTTCACTGGGTAGCAGTTTAGGAATGCCTAAATGGAAGGAAATATTCTTTCTCTGCCTTTGAGAAATAAGTGGTGTATATATATTCTTTTTATATATATAATGATATATATAATACAATTCATAATATATGATATATAATATAATTTATAATATATAATAAATATATATAATATATAACATATATATTATAAAGAATATAATAATTCTTTATAATATATATATATAATGCCTAAATAGAAGGAAATATTCTTTCTCTGTCTTTGAGAAATAAGTGGTGTATTCATAAAGCAGATAAAATGTTACTTTTGTTCCTGACCCGTGGGAGGGGGGAGAAGAAGTTAAGGATAGCTGTCACATTTACCACCTGATGTGTTGTCTCAAGTAAATCCTGAGGTTTGGGCCACACAGGCTCTGGGAAACACACTAAAGACAACCCCGATTCAAATCCAACTTCAGCCTCATGCTCCTCACCCTCACAAAAGACAATACACTTTAAGGCAGGGAGAATGAGAGGAAATTCAACCCCTTATTGCCAAATTCTTGCCATATGACTTATTAAGACCATGAGAATCTCCTTACAATGCTCCCATGTTACCAGATCAAAAGCCTACAGATTTGTCAGAAACCTTATAGCATTAATAAATGCAGTTCTTGTCTCCCTACACCCCATTGTCCCCAATTCTTACTCAAGTCTCGGTGAATGCAAGCTGGTTTACATTCTTAGATATGAAAGACACATTTTTCTGCATCTCAATGCATCCAGATTCACCATATGTTTGCTTTTTAATGGACTGATCCAGATACTCATTTAGCCTCCAAACTAACCTGGACAGTCCTCTCTGAAGAGTTATGGATTAGCCTCAATTATTTCAAAATGTTCTAGCTAAAGACTTAAGAAATTCACAATTGCAAAGGGGCACAATTATTTAGTATGTAAATGACTTACTCATTGCTAGTCTGACTAAAAAAGACTCAGATAATAATACTGTTAAATTGATACATTTCCTGGGAAATGGCAGCTATAGGGTGTCACCATACAAGGCTCAGATTATGACTCAAGGACTCAAATATTTGGAATCTGTCTTAACCTCTGGAACTGATCGACATCCCTTGAAGGAAAAAAAGTTTTTTTAGTCATCCAAGAGTCCTAGTCCAACAAATGGCTGTGGGCCTTTTTAGGGGACAGTTGAGTACTGCAGCTTATGGGTGCCCAGATTTGGACATGTAGCCAAGCCTTTATATAAAACACTAAAAGGAAAATATTAGAGCTCCTTCAGTGTAATTAGAACTGCAAGCTAACCTTCAATACTTTCAAAGAGAAATTAGGCTCTGCTGCAGCCTTGGGTATCTACAAGTTGGATGAACCATTTTTTCTTTTTTTTTTTTTTTTTTTTTTGAGACGGAGTTTCGCTCTTGTTACCCAGGCTGGAGTGCAATGGCGCGATCTCGGCTCACCGCAACCTCCGCCTCCTGGGCTCAGGCAATTCTCCTGCCTCAGCCTCCTAAGTAGCTGGGATTACAGGCATGCACCACCACGCCCAGCTAGTTTTTTGTATTTTTAGTAGAGACGGGGTTTCACCATGTTGACCAGGATGGTCTCGATCTTTCGACCTCGTGATCCACCCGCCTCGGCCTCCCAAAGTGCTGGGATTACAGGCTTGAGCCACCGCGCCCGGCCAAATGTGGCCAAAAAGCAAGGAATAGGCCTTGGGTAATCTTGTCCCAAAACTGGGAAACATTCCAAGGCCAGTAGCTTACTTTTCTGAGCAGATAGACCAGGTGGGCTCAGGGTGTCCTAGATTTCTTAGTGCTGTTGCTGCTACAACTTTTCTAGTAGGCAAGGCTAATAAACATTAGGAAAGCGCCTAAAGGTTTTTTGACCCCACACCAAGGGAAGGTGGTCCTAGAAGCTAAAGGGCACCAGTGGATTATAGGAGAACATTTATTAAAGTATCAAACCTTATTGCTAGACACTCCAGAGATAACTCTTGAAGTCTGACAAACTATAAACCCAGCTCCTTATCTGCTAGAGCACACAGGTGCTGCCAGCCTTCCCAGCATACAGGTTGTTATTCATCTGTTCTCATGCTGCTAGTAAAGACATATATGAGGCTGGGTAATTTATAAATAAAAGAGGTTTAATTGACTCACAGTTCCACATGGCTGGTGGGGCCTCACAATCATGGCATAAGGCAAATGAGGAGCAAAGTTACATCTCTTACATGGTAGCAGGCAAAAGAGCTTGTGTAGGAAAACTACGCTTTATAAAGGGGAGTGATCCCAGCACTTTCGGAGGCCAAGGCAGCAGGTGGATCACCTGAAGTCAGGAGTTTGAGACCAGCCTGGCCAATATGGTGAAACCATGTCTGTACTAAAAATACAAAAATTAGCCATGCATGGTGGTGGGTACCTGTAATCCCAGCTACTCAAGAGGCGGAGACAGAAAAATCCCTTGAACCCAAGAGACAGATGCTGCAGTGAGCTGACATCATGCCACTGCACTCCAGCCTGGGCAACAGAGCAAGACTATGTCTCAAAAAAATAAAATGAAATAAAAATAAAATAAAATCATCAGATCTCATGAGGCTTATTCACTGTCACAAGAATAGCATGGGAAAGACCCGCCCCACTCCCCGATTCAATTACCTCCAGCTGGATCCTTCCCAAGACACATGGGAATTATGAGAGCTATAATTGATAAGATTTGACTGGAGACAGAGCCAAACCATGTCACAGGTTATGAAACAAATTTATTCTAGCGGGCCAGAATGAGCTCCTTGACCATCCCAAGGAAGAGTGGTTAACAGATGCAAGTTGTTTTATGCATCAGGATAACAGGAGGGCTAGATATGCTCTGATTAGTCAGCACAAGTTAATCAAGTCACATGCCTTGCCAACCTCTATCTCAGCTCAAAAAGCTGTTAATTGAACTTATCAGAGTCCTGCAGTTGGGGAAGGATTTAAAAGTTAACATTTACACTGATTCTAAGTATGACTTTTTAGTACTTCATGCTTACGCTGCAATTTGGAATGGGTAGGGACTCCTGACCACAAAGGGCTTTTCCATACAACATCACTCAGATTTTGAGCTTGTTAGAATGCTGCTTGGCTGCCAAAGAAAAGTGACTATAATTCACTGCAGAGGACATCAAAAGAGAGATTGACCATGTAAAAGAAAATGCCCTTGCAAATACAGTAGTCAAGGTCACTGCACTGAAGCTGATGGGCATGCCGGTCAGCATACCTAGAGCTGGGCCAGAAGGCTCTGAAGAATGGGCCAGGGATTGCAGTTTAGTCCAGAACCCTCTGGCTGGCTGACTCATGGTAATACATTACCAATTCCCAATACTAATCGTAGGAAAATAGTTAAGCACTTACACGATTGTTTTCACCCTAGAAGGGATTTTTTGTTTCAGTTAATGTCTCATTGGTTTGTGGTGATAAATCTTTTCAAGACACTAAAACAGGTGAACCTGCCCTGAGCTCTGTGCCTAAAAAAACCCAAACAGCCAGCAATTTTCTCCTCCTCTAGTTTAACCTGTCCAACATTGAGAAACCTCTCCAGGTGAGGACTGAAAACTGATTTACTTGGGTGCCTTTAAATATCTGCTAATGCTTACTGATACCTTCACTGGTTAGATCAAGACATTCCCCATGCTATCTGAAATGTGTTTACCAGAAGATATAATTCCTCAGTTTGGATCATCTAAAAGCGTGCAAAGTGACAATGGTCCATCTTTCACAGCAGACATATCCCAACACCTATTCTCAGCTTTAGGAATCAAATATCACCTTCACTCTGTGTGGAGACTGCAGTCCTCTTGAAACGTGAAAGAACTAATAAAACTCTAAAGAAGACTCTAGCGAAATCAAGAGGCCTATCTCTAACACCCGTAGCTTACTATGGGTTTCAGCTGCTCCAAAGGAAACTTATAATTAGGTCCTGTTGAGTTAGTGTACAGAAAGCCTTTTCTAACCACAGCTCTCCTAAGAGATGAAAGGACTCATCAATTACAAAAGTATGTCATCAATATAGGACACGTGCAAACAAACTCTGTGACTATGGAAGCATAAGACTTCCCCTCCCACATGGGAGGAAAATTCAGTTTCAGCTCAGCTAGGGATTTAGTCTCACTAAAGACATGGGAGGAAGTTCTTCAGCTGCCCAGCTCTCCCCAGCGTGGAAAGGACCACAGCAAGGCCACCTGAGCTCTCCAATAGCCATTAACCTCCAAGGGAGTCACAGGTGGGCACACCTGTGTAAAAGTAAAGCTGTTTCTTATTCTGGGAGCCCAATCCAAGGCTGGGGGAGGTGGGCACGGGGCTATTTAAGCATCGGCAGATGGCGGGCTGAGTCATTGTGTGGTTGGCCTTCCGTCTCGCGTTTCTGTTGCTGGCCTGGTCCTGCCTTGGCTATGCGGGAGATCGTGCTCACCCAAATCGGACAGTGTGGGAACCAGATCGGTGCAAAGGTTGGCGGCTGGGGCTCTGAGGGCCCAGCTCGTGCCTGCAGGGTGGCCGGTGATGTTGGCAGTGGAGGGTGTGGTACCTCTGCATGGCCAGCCCTGGGCTCCCTGCCTCGGACGCAGTAGAGCTGGGTGGCTGGTGAGGCTGCCAGGGTGAACACCAAGGGACCCAGCGGCCTGAGGGTGGGGGTGGAAGTGGGAGAATGGACTGGGGCAACTCCAGCTCCCTGAGCTCCATGACTCAGCCCTGGCCTGTCTGGCCTCTTGCATCTCTTGCAGTTCTGGGAGGTGATCTCTGATGAACATGGCATCGACCCTGCTGGCACCTACCACTGGGGACAGTGACCTGCAGCAGGAACGCATCAACTGTGTACTACAACGAGGCCAGCGGTGAGAGCCCAGTCTTTCCCCGACCGCCCTCCTGGGAATGCCAGCCCTCTCCTCACCGATGCCCTCCCGTTCCCTTCAGGTGGCAGGTACGTGGCCCGCGCTGTGCTTGTGGATCTGGAGCCGGGCACCATGGACTCTGTGCGCTCAGGGCCCTTCGGGCAGATCTTCAGGCCAGACAACTTCATCTTTGGTGAGATGTGGATGAGGACTGGGGTGCGGCTCCTTAGCCAGGGCGGCTCAAAGTCAGCGAGTGCCCCAAGGTCATCTCTGTGGGAACTGGAATCGGGGCCCTTTAACACCCTCCCATCCTCTGAATTACTCAATCTCTCTCTCCTAAATGGGCTATGGGGGAGGAAGGCCCAGCTGTCTCCTCAAGGTGAGGAGCTGCTGATGTGATCTCCCTGCAGGCAGCTGAGCTGGGGCGGTGACTACGGCCTTCGCTGGGAACGGGCAGGAGCCACCTGCAGCGAGTCTCTTGTTTGGCTCCTGATCTAGGTGCTAACAGGCAGCTGTCTCAGGTTTGGTTCCTGATCTGGGTTCTAACAGGCAAGGCTGCTGTCCTGTAACTTTAGGGGAGAGGGTTTAACTTGCTCTACCTGCAGGGTGAATGGTGCCTTTTGCATTGTGGTGGTGACCACCGATGACCATATACCTGGCCATCGAGTGACTGACTGTACTACCTTACAGGTCAGTGTGGGGCCGGGAACAACTGGGCCAAGGGCTACTACACAGAAGGCGCAGAGCTGATGGAGTCGGTGATGGATGTTGTGAGAAAAGAAGCTGAGAGCTGTGATTGCCTGCAGGGTTTCCAGCTGACCCACTCCCTGGGTGGGGGGACTGGGTCTGGGATGGGTACCCTTCTCATGGGCAAAATTCGGGAGGAGTACCCAGACAGGATCATAAACACGTTCAGCGTCCTGCCCTCGCCCAAGGTGTCAGACACTGTGGTGGAGCCCTACAATGCCACCCTCTCCGTCCACCAGCTCATAGAAAATGCAGACGAGACGTTCTGCATTGATAACGAAGCGCTCTATAACATCTGTTCCAGGACCTTAAAACTGACCACACCCACCTACGGTGACCTGAATCACCTGGTGTCTGCTACCATGAGTGGGGTCACCACGTGCCTGCGCTTCCCGGGCCAGCTGAATGCTGACCTGCGGAAGCTGGCGGTGAACATGGTTCCATTTCCCCGGCTGCACTTCTTCATGCCCGGCTTTGCCCCACTGACCAGCCGGGGCAGCCAGCAGTACCGGGCCCTGACCGTGGCTGAGCTCACTCAGCAGCTCTTTGATGCTAAGAATATGATGGCCGCCTGTGACCCCCGTCATGGCCGCTACCTAACTGTGGCTGCCATTTTTAGAGGTCGCATGTCCATGAGGGAGGTGGATGAGCAAATGTTCAACATTCAAAATAAGAACAGCAGCTACTTTGCTGAATGGCTCCCTCACAATGTGAAAACAGCCGTCTGTGACATCCCACCCCGGGGGCTAAAAATGTCGGCCACCTTCATTGGTAACAACACAGCGATCCAAGAGCTCTTCAAACGCATCTCTGAGCAGTTTACAGCTATGTTCAGGCGCAAGGCCTTCCTGCACTGGTACACGGGCGAGGGCATGGATGAGATGGAGTTCACCGAGGCTGAGAGCAACCTGAATGACCTGGTGTCAGAATACCAGCAATACCAAGATGCCACAGCTGAGGAGGAGGAGTTTGAGGAGTGTGCGGAGGAGGAGGAGGAGGTAGCCTAGAAGCTTCCTTTTCTAGGTAAAGGGGGAAGCAGTGTGGATTTTTTTAGTGTGTTTTGATAGCCGTTGTCACTACACACTTGAGTCTTTACATCTCCTCCTGTGTTTTAAAGCATTTTCATAGCAAGTAGCTTGACCTAATAAAATGTCTTCATAGCATCTGGTTTCACCTCCAACTTCTTTCTATAGGCCCTCTGGGTACTGCTTCCAGATGGGCATACTAGTGGTCCTGCAAGGCTGCAGCTGTCTTGGGCTTCTCACATCCCAGGAACCAGCAGTCCAGTGGCTCCTGGAGGGGGTCAGCATGGGCTGTGGACATGGCAGGCAGGCTTCACGCAAACTTGGGGCCGGCCTGGACCTTGGACAGCTACTTAGTGGGAAACCCGTTTCTGAAGGCAACCTTGGTTTATCCTATTTACTGAACTTCCAGGGGACCAGCTGGGCCTCTGTTTCTGGAATTTTGTAAGTGGTTAGTGACCCTGGTGGATGATGTTCCCCACATATCATCTCAGGGTAGGAATGTGGTCAGACAGTTGGCCCTGAACCAGCAATGAAGGGTGGGCAAGTAGGGCTCCAGCCACCCACTCACCATAGTGGCCTGGGTGTGTCTGTGGCCTCATTCTCTTAAGGAGGTGGGCCGGGGTATCTAGCAGGGGCTAGTGGGTGGGAATCGAGCCCATCATCTACTCACATGCAGTGAACCCCATATGGAAGGGGATTAGGTCCTGAAGGCTGTAGGGTGCAGTTGCTGGCCTGCATACTTGGGGTAGTCTCTCTCCAAAGGCACAGACGGGGTTTCTGAACGGGGCCTGGGAAGACAGGCAGGTGCTCACAAGTGCCGTTTTCCCCCCTGACAACCAGTGAGGAAACAAATGCCTGCACGGAGGTCTGACCTGCCCCAGTCTGCAGGGCTGATGTTCCCTGGAAAGGTGGCTAATGGGCGTTCTCCTGTCTGTCCCCCACTCCAAAACTTCAGGGCAATAGTAATCCAAGATTGTCAGGATGAGACTGGTGAGGGTGGCACCTTTGGGGATGGGTTCTTTAGCCCGGCAGAGTCTCTTCCCCAGGCTTCTCAGGAGCCTGGACTTCAAGACCTGCTTCGAGGAAGCTGTCAAATAAGATGTGTGCATGAGCTGGGTGCTGGGCAGCACGCCGGGACAGTGCTCTTCTACGTGGCTCTTGTAGAACTTGTCCATGGCCTGTGTGATGACATCTTGGTAGTTCTCCACCCACTCATATCAGACAGGACAAAGCCAGTATAGCCATGGGGTGGGGAGAAGTACAGGATTCACCCCAGGTCCCCCGGGCACACCCACCTGCCTCAGACGTGTCGGGGAAAACAGGCGAGGCTCCTCTTTTTATTGTCTGAATGTTGGCAATGGGCTACTGGGGGCAAATGAGAGCAGGCAAAGAGGATCGTACCTCATCTTGAAAGAAGTGGCTCCTGGAAGTAGCAGCGAGGTGGGAGAGGTCCCCCATGCTCCCCCAACCTGTTCTTGGAGCAGGAAAAGGGGCCTCTCTGACAGCCCTCCTCAGTGGCTTTCACTGTTTGAGGGGTATCCTTGCCCAGCCCAGCCCAGGTGCACACCCACTTGAGATGACCTTGCATGGATCCTGTTGGGAAGGTTCAGCTGCAGCAACCACCGGAACCTGCTCATACCTAGTGTCTGCACTCGAGCATGGGGTCAGATGCGCCTTCCTCCTGTAGCAGTAGTGGTACAGCCAGAGTGGCAGGGGGGCAAGTCACTACTGCAATTCTCACCTGAGTCTAGGGGTTGGGATTGGTACCCACGTATTTCCCAATTACCTGGTTCCATCTGAGGATTTTATGGATAGGAGTGGTGCTCTTTCAGGCATCGTATCCATATTCTAGCTACAGGTTTGGGTTTCCAAAGTTTCTGGAGTCCCCCTTCCAGCCTGGCAAGCATGGCGAATAACAGGGGAAGGAAGTTAAGCCTGAAGGCAGCAGTACCTGTCTGGGTATGTTCTCTACCCCTGGTGGCCCCTGGTTGTTGTTTACTTCCTTGGGTGAGAGTCAGCTTAGGATTTCAATATTTTTGTAGGACTTCAGAACTGTACAGACAGAGGCCAAGGGGAGCAGCATCTGGAACCGGCAGCTAACCAGTGTAGTGGGGGTCATACGACTCAGCTTGGTTTCAGCAGGGAATTCAGGGAGGCTTGGATTTGCTGAAGCCCTAGATGAGCTTGGGCTTGGATATGGGAATGACGTGGGGCAGGGGCCCTTCTGTACGCTGGAGTCTTTGCGTAGTTGTACCCTGGTACATCCACAGGTGTTCCCCACCTGGAGTGCAGCTGTGGATAGAAGCTGGCATCGTTGTGGAGGGAAGAGGAGGAGGAGGCAGGATGAGTCTCCAGGGCAGCCCCAGCAGCCAGGAAGGGACTCTGCAAGTGAGATGCAGATCCGGCCTGTGGGCCACTTAGCAGCTGCTTGGGCGGCTGCAGATCACCTGACCTCTGCTCACCAGGAAATGGGAGTTGCAGCAGCACTTACCTTCTGGGACTCCTGCAACTTGAAGGGAGAGCATACATCATGTGCTGAGAACGCACCTGACTCAGGCAAGCTTCTCCAACAGCACCGCATCAGATTAGCATCCAACCTGTATAGGACAGCACCAGAACTCCCTATTCCTCATTGCAACTGTAATAAAAGGGAGTCTCTGTCCTAGGGGAGCAAGCACAGGCATATTTGTGCAGTGGGCACATGACCCAGGTGGGGGAAAGGTCCTTGGATATATGCTGGTTTCACCAGGAATCTGTGGTGTGGGTTTGGCCTCGACTCCTGTACCCCTGGAGGCCAGTAGCCCCCTGCATGGGACCAGGACTGGCAGGTGGGCAGGTGGGTCGAACTTTGAGGGAAGCCATTGTTTGGCCTCATGGGAAGGTGGTTGTTGATGGTTCGGTTTTGCAGGGCCTGTGTGATCGCCCAAGGAGTGCAAATTGCCTTAAAAAAAAAAAAAGCCAAAACTGACACAAGCTCACCAGTTGACAAGGTGAGGAATGCTGGTAATTGTCCTCACCTGCCTTTTCCCCAGAAGTAAGTGGTGTTCAGAGGTGGATTTGGTTCCTTCCCAGCCTTTCGCCTTTGCATGTAGCTGTGTGCCTATGCTTAGGTGTGTACTCACACATGTTTCCTGGCGGGGTTACTTTTTTGTTTTGGGGGGAATAACTGGTGACGCAGCCTGGCATTTGCTAACCTTGTCTTTTAGTGTGGAGTCCTCTATAGAGTGGGCATCGGGTACTTACTAGCTGGCCTTAGCTGTTTGGCTGCCCCAGCTTCTGCCCTTCACAGACATGCTGGCCACCCAGTGTGACATGCAGTGGGCTTGTTCGCAGCTAGTATGATGAGACTAGTGAATAAGCTTGCAATTCCTTGGCAAGGAAATGAATGGTAGGTTAAAAGGAGCTTCAAATAAAAATTAATGGCAGAATAGCAAGATAAGAAGTTGGATATATTCTTTAAAGAAGTTCCTTTGTTATGGATGCATAGTATTCCATGGTGTATATGTGCCACATTTTCTTTAGCCAGTTTCTTTTACAGACTTTGCCAGAGAGTGTGGAGATCAATACTCCCAGAGGCAAGACCAGGTTAGCAGTGAAAGGGTGGGGGAGTTCCAGTATTTAAAAAGTCCTTCTCTTACATCAGTAACACTTAAGTCCATTCTTAGCTCTACTTTTGCTTT